ACACCCCGGCTTACCATCTAGCGGAAGGTTTCGGAAAGGTGAAAAAACATATATTTAATACTTGCGCCGGGTATTTAATGTTCGGCTCCGCCCGAACTTAGACTTTCTTACTTGTTTTTTGTTGGGTTTTGAGTTGTGTCGTTATTGCAGAGCTCCATCAATATGTACTATTTACATGCATATTGGATTATTAAGTTCCTCGAAAAAAAAATATCTACTGATAGCCTGAGCTGTACTTATGTATTATGTAGCAAGATCAGGTCAGTGTTGCTAAAGAGTCTCATTGTTCTCATCTCGCTAGTTTTTACAGAAAAAATTTCTGTGAATACTAATCATTTTAGGCCCTCCAGTAAGGGAAACAAGGTTGTACACAGTAACCAAAGAATAGTGCTGATTTTAGTTTGTTAGCTTGGCAAGTAAGTACGAGATGGTTTAGTAGTATATTTAAGAAATCGGTGATATTTAACAACTAGTTCAAGCCTTAATTCAAAACTCCGCATATAGTTATATCGAAAAATGTACATATTGCAGCATACAAAATGTTACTTTAACACGAACCGGAATTAATCGTGGCATAATTTGCATAAAAAATATTGAAAAATATTTGCACTCAGCAGTTTAGCTGAAAGTCGAGAGGGCTTCACGTAAAACTTAGTTGTTAAACCAAACTGGATTGTCAGTGGAACAACTTACAAATTTTATTAAGTTATCGGAAATGCTTTGATATGCAATAAGCAAGTGGGCACTAATGGGTTTTTTTTTGTACTCTCAATTACAGATGTAGTTAAGTAGTAGGTAATAAATAGCACTCGTAGTAAACACAATAAAGCGCTTGACGTGGACATGATAATTTTTCATATAAGAAAAATTTATTGCCTTCTACCAGTATGAAGTAAGTTAGCAAGTGTATTTATTTGTTTACTATTTTTTCGAATAATTCATAAATTTATCTGTGTATAAACAAGTACATACATAAATATGTATTATGGCTGAGTTGTGTTGAAAATTGAACACTTTCCAACTAAAATTACTATGATTACACTTAGAGTAGATGACATCAGCCCACTGCTATTGTTTACATCTTAATCATAGTTTTTTCGTCTAACTGGCATTGGAGAATCGAAGACTGCAGCCAACTATCCATGGATGCATAGCTACATACATAAGTTAGGGACAGCGTAGAACAACCAACAAATGATGCCGCTAGAGGGTTTTCTCTCATATTTCATGAGCACCCTAGTTATTGACGAAATTCTACAGAACTCTATTTGGTAATGGTATTCGTGGAAGGGATATGCGAAGGTTGTCGTAATAATTTTCACAGGAAAGTGCGAAACTACCTTCCGCGACATAATACAAGAAGGTCTAAACTTGTCGAAATACTGACAGGGTCCTAATATCCCACTCTAATATGGGTATCATATGCTTAAGCTTAAGTTAGGTCTGGTTATGAGGACAGTTTTGTTAATTTGTATTGCGATGCCTGGAGTGTTTTCTCGTGCCTATACATACATACATGTATTTTAAAACATTCTGATTCTCTGGCGAATCCTAGCAGAGCCTGCAACGAAGTATTCCCTCAGCTGTCTAGGCTCTCGAAGAACTTTATAGCTGACTTCTTTTTTGATAAAATCACCTAAAAACCTAACTTACAACCCGACTTACCTTTCTTCCTGCTGCCAGCTCCCTTTGTCAGTATTTGCGTCTGCTCCACATGCGGTGGTGGTGAGTGCGAATCACGTGCCTTCTTTGGCACGCAAAGATCCAGTGGCTGATCCATTATGCCACCATTGGCATCATCTTCGCTCGTCTCACTCACCGATGTGCTGCACAAGTGGCCGGGTTCACGTTGCGGCGATTGCGGTTGTTGCGCAAACTGTTGCTGAAAGTTGCGTAGTATACTTTTGGGCGATTTTGCAGGTACTGGAGGCAGCGTTATAGCGGCATTGGACGAAGAATTAGATGACTCATCCATTGCTTCGCGATGAACTGCATTTGTGCCACAGTTGTTGGCGCTCAAACTATGCTGTTGAATCGGCGAAAAGACGGCGCGCCATCCTAGAATGTCCGCAATGGCATGAGGAGTGGGCCGCATAGGTGGACGCGCATATACATGCGGATGCCAGCTTTCGGCGGCATTACTGGCAGCAGCCTTAAGTTCGAGATCACTTTGTATATGGATTTTGGTTGATTTAATTGAAGGTGGCATAGTAGCGGGTTCCAAACGCCGTGGATGTGGTGTCTTGGCGCGCGGCGGTGGTGGCGGAGGTGGTGAGAGCGGTGTATGTAGCGGTGGTGCTGACAAACAGGCCGTCTCCATATGTGCCATACTACTACCATTGCCGTTGGTGTAACAGCTTGTTGGCGATGGGCGTGGCGTAGATTCGAGTGTCTTCTGTAGGAAATTGCCCGCCAAGCGTTGCTCGGGGTCGCGCACCTTAAGCAGATTAGCAAGCTTCTCTTTACCACTAGGACTAATACATGCGTGACTAGGTACCAAATGCTGCGCCGCCATATTGTGATTCAAAGCGGCAATATTGTTGTTGTTCAAGCTGAAGTTGTTGTACTGCGGATGGCCATGCGGTGGTATCGTCAAAGGGCTCTGATACACATACGAGCTTGCCGCGGCCATATTGAGGTGCTCTTGCTCGGCCAGTGAGGCCTGTAAGCGGGAGTGTTGTTTGAATTTTTGCTGCTCCTTGGCGAGTAGTGCGGCGGTGCTGAAGATAGGCGCATGCGCTCCACTAACCATTTCCGCAACAGCGTCGCGATCTATTTCGGGCATCATTTATGGGCGCTAAATTTGTTCAGATTGCTGTTGCTGTTGCTGGTGCTGGTGCTGGTGACGGGTGGCTCAGTTATGAAGGAGGTGCTGTGGATATAGATAATAGAGAGAAATTGAGGATTAGCGCATTTTGCCTGTGGGGTTGCTTTCTGTTCAATTGCCTCAATATTCCTATTACATATTAGTACTAATTAAGATGTGAGTCGCAACC